TTTTTCACCCAAAGGGAATAAAAATTCCACCTTTGGGGATAAAAATTATTAAATTTATTTGATGTTTTACACTACAAAAAATCTCACAAGAGACCTTGAAAGCTTTAAAACCAATTCACTGTTCTTTATTTATTGCAGTGATAGTTACTAAAGGTATGGGAGGTACATAGGCAATTTCTATGAGAAAAATATTGTTTTCTGAATGTTTTACTTACTGGCTATCATTCACTAAATATTTACACGGCAAGCCAAAATGTTAACTTCTTCAAAATGCCAATTTTAAGTTAGCAGAAATAATGAAAGCTCAAGACACTCATTAGCTGAAGGAATGCAGGCTCTCCAGGAACCCTGCCACCCAAGTTAGTCATCACAGTGCACAACAAGTATGCTCCATTCTCATCCCACTCCCTGTGGCTTGTCCATCCTCCAAATCTGATTCTTCCTTATCTTCCAGTTGGCTGCTACTTAGACTTTTTGCACTTCTCTTTATAAACAATTTCTTAAATACCACTTACAAGTTAGAAAATTGGCACAATGTTTAGACTGAAAGGTAAAACCATGTCAGCAGATGGGTTAAAAAGTCATTCTGAAATGGGTAAGTTCCTAGACACATATAAATTATTAAAACTGAACCATGATGATATAAAAGGCTGGAATAATCCAGTAACAAAAAACAAAATAGAGACAGTTACAAAAACAGTCTGAACTAAGAAAAGTCCAGGACCCAACAAATTCACCACCATATTTTACCTGAACTTCAAGAATTAATGCCAATATTCCTCAAGTTCTTCCATGAAACAGAGAGAAAATGAGGAATGCCAAACTTATTCCTGAAAGCTATCATTGCCCTAATACCAAAACCGGACAAGGAAAGAAAGAAAGAAAGAAAGAAAGCAAGCAAGCAAGCAAGCAAGCACAAGAAGCCAATTTCCCTAATAAATATATATATGAAAAATTCTCCACAAGGCATTTTCAAATAAACACAATGAATCATTTTTTAAATTATACAATACTCTGGTTTCCCTTCAGACTTTCTCTTTTTATTAAAAATTATGTATTATGACCAAATTGGTTTCATCCCAGGCATGCAAGTTGGTTGATAAAATCATCTAATAAAAATACTAGATCTAAACAGCAGAAGCATATCAACAGATTCAGAAAAAGCTCTTGAAAAAAATCTAACATCTTTTTATAATAAAAAGAACCCAGGCAACCCACTAGGGACCCGTTTTATCTCTCTCTTTCAGACAGAAGACTTTTTACTCTCAATAAATATATTCTGCTATTAAAAAACAAGGAAACAGTCTACGGCCTGGGATTTAGCTCAGCAGCACAAGTGCTTACTTGGCAAGCGTAAAGTCATGAGTTCAACCCCTTTTACCAGAAATAAATAAATAAGAACTCGGACCAAAATAGGTATAGCTGGGCATGGTGGCACACACCTGTAATCCCAGCACTCAGGAGGCTGACCTACAAGGATCACTGCAAGTTTGAGGCCACCCTGTGTTACAAAGTGAGTTCAAAACCTCTCTGAACTGCACAGCAAAACCCTGTCTCAAAAAGACAAACAGAAAATAAAAACTAGGTATAAAAGGACTTTCTGTAAGTTGATAAAAGACATTTATGACAAACCCACTACCAATGTCATTTAAAAATGAAGAAAAAACTGAACCTATTCTCTCTAAAAACAGGAATAAGACTAGGCTGTCCACTCTCAGTACTCCTGTTCAAATTAGTACCCAAAACTTTGACCAGAATAATCAGGTAAGAGAACAAAATGAAAAGGACTCAAAAAGAAAAAAGCCAAACCATCATTATTTCAACATGGCGTTATTCTTTACATAGAAGATCAAAAAGAAATCCACAAGAAAAGCCTTAGAAATAATTGACAAGCAGCCATGTACCCCAAGAAGAAAACCAAGAAGCCAACCCCTTCCTGTGACACAGTGGTTGTCATGTGCCAGGACAATCCCTTTCTGTGAGCCAGTGGTAGCCATGCACACAGGGAAGGAAACCAAGCATAATCTAACCCCTTCCTGTCAGCCAGCAGCAGTCGTGGGCCAGGACAACCCCTTCGTGTGAGCCAGCAGCGGCCATGTACCCCAAGAAAAGAACCAAGAAGAAGTCAATCCCTTCCCACGAGTCAGAGGCAGTCATGAACTAGGACAACCCCTTCCAGTGAGCCAGACAGTGCACAGGATGGGAGACAAGAAATGTCAGGCGCCCCACCACTCTCCCCTTCCCAGTAGGCAACCAGCTGACTTGGAAAAACACAGGCTGAGTGAACGAAACACAGGCTACTGAATGAAAAATAACAACTTAATATTTGCATGGCTTGATTGACTTTGCAGGCCTAAAGTCAGTAGTCTGAGCATCTATTTAGAGGATAACAATATGCAATATAGCAACTATGTGGGATTTCTTTCTCAAGATGGTAGTCATTGTTAATTCCCTATTATCTTGTATCATTTTCATTGTTTGGTTTGGTTTTATTATATCAGATGGCATGGGCAGCTATTTCAAACATATATTATAAGATATATTATACAATACATTATATTGTATATATATATTATATAATTAATATAATATATTAAGATATATTATAATATAATATATGACATTATAATATATATTATAAGATATATTATAATAGCCTTTGTGGATTTTCTATTATCATGTTTTGAAGTCCTGTATAGCTTTCATTGTTTTGCTTTGATTGGTTTTATTCTGTTTTGTTTTGTTTAATTTTATTATATCTAATGGTATGGGCAGCTATTTTGAAGATAACAAGAAGCATTATGGTACCATTGTTGATTTCCTATTACCTGGTTTTGAAGTCCTATATCGCTTTCACTGTTTTGCTTTGATTGGCTTTCTTTTATTTTGTCTGGTTTTGTTCTCTTCAAAATAAAAAAATATTTTAATAAAAAAGGAATAATTGACAAATTCAGCAAAGTGGCATGATGCAAAATAAACACATGAAAGTCAACAGAATTCCTATATACCAGCAATAATCCCATGGATATAAAAATTAGGAAAACATTCTCATTCACAAAAGCTTCAAGAAAACATAAACACCTAGAAATTAACCTAACCAAGGAGGTGAAAGACCTCTATGATGAAAACTATCACTCTGTAAAAGGAGACCGAAGAGAAAATCAGAAAATAGAAAGTCATTCTCCATTTTTACATAGAATAAATATTGTCAAAGTGGACATGTTACCAAAAATGAGATAAAGCATTAATGCCATCCCAATCAAAACACAGCACTTTTCACAGAACTATAGGAAATAATTCTCATGTTTATATAAAACCAGAAGACACCCAGAATAGCCAAATAATCCTGAGCTGCATGAGTCAAGCATCAGGCTCTACCACAAAACAACAATACTAAAAACAAAATTGTACTGGGACAAAAACAGACATGTTGACCAATGGAATAAAATAGAAGTTGCAGGGGAAAACCCAAGCATCTTCAGGCATCTGACTTTTTGCAATTGGCTGGAGAAAAGTCTTTTTAACAAACAGTGGTGGGAAGGTATCTATGCTCATGTAGAAGAATGAAGCTAGATCTATATTTCTCACCCCATACTAAAACCAAATCAAAATGGCCAAAGACAAAAAAAAAAAAACACTGAATCTATCAGAGAAAAAAAATTCACAAAACTCTTGAAAACATAATAGGTAAGGTCATCCTGATCAAAACCCCAATTACACAAGACATAATACCAAAAATCAAAAACTAGTGTTAGCTTCTGCACAGCAAAAAAAAACAACCAACAGAGTGAAGCAAAAACCTACAGAATGGGAAAGTTTTTTCCAGTTTGCCTTCAGAAAGAGGTTAACTCTAGAGAACACACAAAGAACTCAAAAAAATTAAACACCACAAAAGACCCAACTTTAAAAACGGGCCAATGAAATTAAAAGACACTTCTTCAGCAAATTACCGATAAGCACATGAAAAAATTTTAAACATCTTTGGCCATTAGAGAAATCCTAATCAAAAACCACTGAGATTCCACCTTAGTCCAGTAAAAATGAACTGGAAAAAAAAAAAGATACTGCAGTTGTCGGGGGGATGAACCCTTTGTGTCGTTGGTGGGAATGGAAACTAGCACAGCTCCTATGGAAATTTCACAAAAAACAAACCTAGAAATTTCAATTGACCCAGCTGAAGTCATCACATTACACTGACACAGTTGTACCCACATTTACAGCAATACAACTTGCCATAGCTAAATTATAAACAGAGCCTGTATGCCCAGACAGATGAACAGATACAACGTGGTATGCATACACTGTGGAGTACTACTCAACCATAAAGAAGTATAAATTCCAGTTATTTGTAGGAAAATAGATGGCTCATGAGGCCTTAATACAAAGTGAAACAAATCTGATACAGAAGGCTAAATATCACTCTCTAAAGTATAAATAATTTTAAACCCAACAAAAATGATGTTAAAATCCAGGGAGTTAGATGCTGTACAGGCAGGGAGACAGCGTTGGAAAGGAAGGAAAGGAGAGGGCTGAGGCAAGGGTATAAAAATGGTTAAGATTTGATAATTATGGGTACCAATTCTCTAAGATAAAAGTAATTACTATGCATGGCAAAAATATAATAATAAAATAAAACTTCTGGTAAAACCTTCCTGGGGTCTTGCTAGATATTCTCATTAATACTTTCCTTAAGTCTGGGGCAGAGAGGAGTAGGGGGAAGCCATGAACTGACCTGCCAGCCTTCTTCAATACTCACACGTCCTAAAGGGCTTTGTGGTCAGTCTTTCTCCTTGAGGACAGAGAAGATGAAGGAGTGACTGTTCATCTATATCCTGGCCCTTCCATGTGTGAGAAATGGGATGCAAAGGCAGTTGAACAGCCACAGTCAAATTGTGGTCTCGCCATGTTTTAAGACAGCGTGCCCAGCGCATGTGCGCATGCGCTCACTGAGGTGAGCATGCGCACTAGGAGCACCGTTGCCTTGGAGACCCTGGTTCCTGGGCCCTGTGCACCAGCATGTTAGATTCTGCCACCTCTGTGATGCCACGCAGCGGGGACCAGGCATCCAACACTGAAGGCCACCCCAGGCAGGACCTGCCTCTTTAGCCTGGCCTCTGGTGAGGACCCGGCGGGGACCCCACGGCCTGCCGGGAGCTTGGCGTGCCAAGGACAGGCTGGATTTCGAAAAGGACATTTCGAGGTAGCGCAGTCCCATAGTGGCCCACGGGGCGCCCCGGGCCGGGCTCGGGGGACAGTGCCGTGGAATGCAGCCTGGGGGACTTGTGCTAGGCCTACTTTTATGTTAGTACAGGCTCTCCAGAAAATAAACACAAGCGATTGCTTTAGTACTTTTCATTGCTTTTATAAAAACAGGATTAATCACTGGGTGGTAGAATAGCCAAATGTGGGATGCTTCTAGAATTACAGCCAGTTACTTTGTGAATATATTGGAGCACTTCTTTGTCCATCAGTTAGTTAAACTGGGAGTCTGAAACACAGGCTTACACACTATTTTTTTCTTGTTAGTACTCCGATGAATGTTTCTCTCTTGGTCGCGGCCCGATGGAGATTACAATGATAATAGATATTTTATTCCCCCAAGTCTCCTCATGCTTCTTCCAATGTTAAGCTATTTCTGCAGAAAGAACTTATCTCTATAAACAAAAGGACTTCTGTTTACTTCCCCAAAAAGTGACAATAGAAATCTCAATACAACTTTTTCTCATTACACAAGTTCTATAATTCTGTGGCCTTTTATTTTATCAGGACAGAGATTGAACTTGGTTGCCTATAAGCCTAAACCCTCTGTTCTCAAATGTCAGTAGCTTACTTCAGTTACTAACAGGCTGTTTTCTCTCTTTTGCTAACACTGGCTACCATGACATTTAGAAATATTAATTTAATTTAGAAATTAAAAGTTTTGAAACCAAAAATTCCTGAAAATTGTCAAGTCATTACGCTTTAAGGTTTCAAAGTCATTCAGCCAGAACTTCCCCCTTTCTGGAAAGATCAAAACCAAAACTAAAATCATCAGGTGGCATGGCTCACACTATTGAGTTATGCATGGACACTTAGCATACATAGAATTTCGTATCTACTCAGATAAACTCCCAGCTGGCATACAGTTATTAGCCAAGACTTTATGTAAATGTGATCTAAACATAAAATTCAGGAATAATAGGGCAGAAAGGAATAGGAGACACCTTTAGAGTAACAAAAGCAACTTTAATAAACATATTGATAGAAGAAGGTTGTTTCAGTATATAAAGAAGAGCAAGGTAGCAGGTATGTATCAGGAAAAATCACTATTGGCCAACTTAAGTATGAGAACTTGGTTTTGAAAATGTAAACATTGCAATATAGAGTACATTAAATGGATTATTAATTACAAATGAATTGTTGAAAGCTTTCCTGATAATTGCCTAGTACTAGTCCCTAAGTGTCCTTTATGTTTACTTTGTCACCTAGTGACACTGTTCACAACCAAGAGATAAAATTTAGAATAGATAAATACTGTCTAGTCATCCAGCCAGGTATTCCAGTCACAGAGACAGTCACTGAGGGCAGGTGAATGCAAGTTGATGCCTCTTAAGAATTAAACCATAGAAAGTAGAAAGCTGTTGCTTCTGATTTGGGGAGATAACTACAGAACAGAAAAAAATCAACTATATATATTTCCTTCTGAGAAAATCATGTGTACATGTTTTGTGGTGATTTTTTTTTAGAAATTTGCAAATAAAGATATCACCAAAGGTTAGAAACAAAATCATCTAGAGGAAGTCCTAGTAGTATGGCATGTGGAAATGCACACATCTCTAGAGCAGACAGTCTTGCTTTGGGGGTAAGTAACATTCCACTTTCTTAATCATAAAGTATTTCGGTTTTGGAAAGGGTGGTATGGTTGGATCTGGAAAGAGGAAGATTTAGTTCAATCAAAGGGTAAAAGATTTTTTTAATATATCGTCTTCTATAAATTTTGACTGATCTCATGTATCTTCATAAACAAACGTATGCTTAGAAGAAAGCATACTAACCAAACAAACACAGGCAGGATAATAGAGAAAGCAAAATATGTTGTAAAATTTTAAAGAGGGAATATGTGTATGTTTTCTGTAACTGTAAGAGAGACCTATCATTGGTAATTTTATGTCTGTGCAGTAAAATGTTTATAAATTCATCTGCTGTATTATAGATTTGTTCTGCTAAGTTATAAGTCTGTTAAATTACAGATCATTTATGTGGTTATCTTAACAAACACCAAGGAATCATGAAGTTTGTGTACACTACAGTTACGAGGTGAGGCACTATTCTCAGTATCTTTAATTTATCATTTGAACTTGGCTACTGTGTAAACCAGTTGTCTAAGTTCCTGCTTATTAGCAGAGGTACTTAATCTTTTGAGGTCATAGACCACTTTGAGGTCACAGGTCACTTTGGGTGTGAAATGGAAGCCATGAGTCCTCTCACAATTCACTCGACCCCCTCTCTTTTTTTTAATAAGTGAGAGGCAGGAAGTTTGACTTCCTGGAACCCCTTTGTTGGCTGTTGAGTAAGAACAATCTTTAAGAAAATCCATCTTTTCCTTCACTGTTTGGGGATTTTTACCAGCTTTGACTGTTGAGATATTTCATAGTTCTATAGAACAATATTCATTGATATAAAGAGACATTATTTTTCAAGCCCACTTCTTTGGACTGTGGAAGGATGTGTGGAATGTAATTGTAATTCAAATGTGCTTATATGGTAGGTATTGACTGAGTACCTGCACTATGCAGAGCACCAGATGAGAGGCCAGTAATACCGTAGTGAGAACAACAAAGTCCAGGCTTGTGGAACCTTTCTTTTTTTCATTTTTAAAAAATTTTAGCTAGATGTGGTGGCACACTTCTGTAATCCCAGCACTCATGAGCCTTAGGCAGAAGGATCACTACAAGTTCAAGGCCAACCTGGGCTACAAAGTGAGCTCAAGGCCAGCCTGTACTGCATAATGAGACCCTGTCTCAAAAAAATTTTTATTACGATAAAAGACACATTGTCATTGATTCCCCCTAAGAACATTTTTGTGGGAACTTTTGATCTAGAAGAAAATATTTCTGTCAGTCAAACCCAGAGAACCTCTAGAATGATACCATCTTTGGAAATTTGGTACTTCAGGAAACTTTAAATTCTAAATATATCATACATATAGTTCTTATCAGAAAAAAAGATGTTTCTTTTAACAAAAGAAAAAAATACCTTCTTTGAACTATCTCTAAAGTTAGCCAGTTGCATTAATGTGTTTCATAAACTACTTGATTTGCACGGATTTTCTAGAACCCTTAAAAGATTAACTTCCTGTTAAAGTTTATATGAAAATAAAAATAACATCCTGTCATTTGAAAGAGTAAATATGTGACTCAATATATAAATTACTAGTTGATATATAATTTGAGAAATAAACTTACTGAGACATATTTACTAAATGATTACATTTCTTTAAAACCAAAGTCAAATAATAATTCTCCCTTACTCTAGCCTGTATCTTATCCAATACAGAGACCTTGTTCATGCAAGTCTTCCTGGGATCCTTTACATGATTGTGTTGGATTGTCCTCACTCTAGCATACTTGTGAAAAAAACTCATAGCACCTATTCCTTGAAGGAAAAGGCAAATCTTTTAAGATTCAAAGTCATTCTCTTTCATAAAAAATTACAACATACAAGAAAATGTTGACTAGATAGCTTTCTATATCTCAGCAGATTAGAAACCACATTTCTCTGAACTCTCAGTATTGTCCTCTCATGCCATTATTTAATGAGGACAGAGGATGGCCCATCACATAGCCACACTGTTAACATTCTTATGAAAGAACTGAGCAGAGCTACTTTTTAAAAAAGAAAAAAAAGCAAAACAGAAAAAAAGAATAAAAATGATACAGAATTTTTTTAAAGTAAGGAATTAACACTATTTAATATGTTGCATATTGTTGTCTTAAAAGTTTTTGTTCAGGTTACAAAATGTAGACACAAAAGTGGTCAGACTGTGAAATGCAAATTAAAACAGCACTGAGATTCCATCTCACTCCAGAAAGAATAGCTGTCATCAAGAAATCAACTGATATCAAATGTTGGCAGGGATGTGGGGAAAAAGGACCCTTCTCCCTGCTGGTGGTAGTGTAGACTGATACAGCCACTGTGGAAGTCAGTGTGGAGATTTCTCAAAAAACTAGGATTAGAAATCCATTTAATCCAGCTATGCCCCTCCTAGGTATTTTTCCAGAAAATTTGAAAATGTCATATCACAGTGATGTATGTGCATCCATGTTCATAGCAGCACAATTTGTAATAGCTAAATCTTGGAAACAACCAAAATGCCCATCAACCACAGAATGGATAAAAAAGATGTATTTTTCTATAATGGAATATTACTCAACTGTAAAAAAGGATAATCTTGAGGCTTTTATAGGTAAGTGGAGGCAACTTGAGACCATACTCATAAGCAAAATAAAGCAGAGCTACTTTCATGGAACAACCCATTGCTCCTGGTACAGCTGGCTCCTGTTTGCTAACCTTCAGTGCTTTCTAGCTAGAGCCTTCTGTCTGGGTTCATCAGTTCAGGAAACACACTCTTAAGTACATAGTTATTTAATTTTCATCTTTTGTAACACATTAATGTTTCTTACAGTTAAGACTTACTGAAATTATGTTTTATAGTACACTGTTTCAGCACTGATAATATTCTCTTCTTATAGGCTGTGCAGATTATGATTGGCACCTTTACTGTCTTAATGTGGTATTTCCTGTTGGTTTTATACATGGGACAAATTAAAGGAGTCTTCGGGAAATATGAACCTATAACATACAAAACAGGATGCACATTGTGGGGAATTTGTGTAAGTAGACATTTATATTGATTTAATCACTTGTACCATGCACATGTATACATGTACCAATTACCTGCAATGAAAGTAGTCATTATGTGTTGCAAATGTGTACTGATAGGAAGAGGAGGCTAGGGTGTGGCTCAGTGCAAAGAATCTTTTAAAAAAGTCTTTGCTGTGGACATAGTACTACATGGAATAATTGTCTAAATTTCCTTCCTGAGATTGTTGGCCTCCTAGCAGAGATTCTTGACCTCTATTTCCAGGAGAATTCTGTAACTAAATGCCACATTGGTACTTTATTCAAAGTTAAATTCTTTCTTTCAACAAATTTATTTTGAGCACCTTTGATTTACAAATACTGTTCCCAGAGCTGTGGCTACAGAAGAGAATTCACAGTGACAACAGTAGGATGGATTGTGCCTAGATACATTAGAGATGAAGAGTCGTACCTGTGCTTCAGTCTTTGCCTGAGCCACCTCACACAAGCCAATGGTCATTCCCTTAATCTGTCATCGTCTGCACTTTGCTGTGGTGTCCACACAGCTGTTCCGTTAGGAGGGAAACCTGGTGAGAAAGGCATGCTGGAAGCCACAGAAACAAGGACTCTCTCTCCCTCTCTCTTTCTCTCTCTCTCTCTCTCTCTCTCTCTCTCTCTCTCTCTGTCAAATAAGATGAAAACTGAGAACTGGCTGCTGAGTTTAGCAACCATGACAACTATTTTCAGTGGATTTTGTGAGGCAAAAATCTGATTGGAATCGGTTTAAGACACAAAAGGAAGAGGATCACAAGTTCAAGCCCAGCCTAGACAATTTACTGATTTAAGTTTAATTGTATCTCTTAAATAAAAACTTTTTTAAAATGGCAGGAAACTGTATCTCAGTGTAAAGTCCCTAGGCTCACCTCTAAGTACTGCCTCCACCCTGGAAAAAAATATAGGAAAAAAAAAAATTTGAGATAGGCAGTATAGAGGAGTCCCTTCAAGGACTTTGCTAGACGTACTGCTGAGAAATGAGGTGAGGGCTGGGAGGTGTGGGCACCAGAGGCTCTGCTTATTTGTTGGAATACTATCTAGGGTCTGAACCAGGAAGAAATCAATGATATGAAATAAAACGAAGCACCATGTATTTGTGTAGGCAAGAGATGGTGAACTTTAATGCCCACATAGCTAAGAGCATAGACAGTTATCTCCAGCAGCAGTTCTGAATAAGAGGTAATTTACACCTCAGAAACATTTCATAGCATCTGGTCATCTTTCATGTTTTTCCAATGCCACATCTAGTGGGCAGAAGCCCAGGATGCTACAGAGCAACCTGAAAGACACAGGACAACCTCTGGCAGCAGAGAATGAGAAGCTTCAGGCTGCAAATCATGTTAGGTTAGGGACCAAGACAGAAGACACAGTATGGAAGAGGAAGCATAGGTTTTGATAAGTGGGGGAGCTTGTGGAGATTTTTTCTAATGGCATCAGGTTTTTCAGTGAACCCGGAAGTGAGATCGTGAGCTGAAAGCGAGGATAGAGAGAGGGGAGAATGTGAAAAGTCATCCAGCTATGAGAGCACACAGGAATGCAGAAGAGCAAGTGAGCTTTCATACAGCACTAGCAGTCCAAGGGCCGAGAACATGACCGCGTAGTAAGACGGGCATGTGTCTTCCTCAAGCCACAGCCAGGACACAGGCACAGCATGAATGAGGGGGAAAAGCTACGCTCAGCAGGCCTTGAGTTCATCCATGACACATGAGAAAATAGGGACAGTACAGAAGAGTAAAGGGTGGATTCAAGGGGATGTTCGCAGTGGCAGACCGTGGTATTTAAACTAATGAGGGAGGGAGCATTTGACAGGAAGTTGTTGGTCGTAGAATATGGATCCAGGTAAAAAGCTTGATAGTGTTTTAATACCCGAAGACGTGCTGGGAAGATAGCAGGAAACAGTCAGAGTGGAATACGTTGAATTGAGGACCTGAAAATTAGAATAAGGACAGGAGAACTATTGAGATGGCTAAAAGATGTTGACATAAAGGGTTGGAGAAAAAGATTCAAATAAACATACTCTCAAGGTATTAGAAATACCTTGAGAGTATTCATATGTATATATATATATATATATATATATATATATATATTTATTTATTCATTCACATATATTCATATGTTCATACTTATTCATATATATGGATATATGATCGGGAAAGCGGTGAATGATCAAGGAAGGAACAGGTAAATTCACACACGCAGGATGGAGGACAATAGCGTCTGACAGAAGCGAGGGGATGGCCACGAGTAGCCACACTCTTCTACCCCAGCACGCAGCAGGAGAGCTGAGCTCCTGGAGTCAAGGTGGCCATGACTTGAAAGTGACTGGCAGAAGGCACAGCAGTGAGAGATTCTTGACCTTTTCCACACTGGTTCACCAGTGTCCACAGATTACCTTGGGAAGAATCAGGAGAAAAGTAGTTGATTTTCAAGCAGAATCCAGATGAGTACTCTTAAGTCCTTTAGTGCTAATTATTTGTCTTCTAAAGAGAGTGTTTTTCAGGCTGTGCGTTTCTACATGGATGAGGCATGTCTCACACACTTGGCGAGATCTTGTTTTCCCACCAAGTCTGCTCAGACCGGGAGCTCAGAATTATCATCAGGAGACATTCACAGGCTCCTGCCACTGCATTATTTTTCTGGTCCTGACATCTGCTTTTACTCCTGCTTAAGCTCTCGGCTGGATGGCGGCTCCCTCCCGCTCCTCAGTGCTGTTGGCTTCCCTCGTGTCTGCCAGGATTCCTGTCAGTGTTTTCCACAGCACTGGTTTAGTGCACATGAATTTCTTTAGGGTATATTTGTTCTAGAAAATGTTTCCCCATCAATTTTGAAGGATAGTTTCACAGGAATAGGGGTCTAAATCTGTAGAATTTAGGGATTGACAATTGTTCTCAGTTTAGGACTTGAGGAAGCTTGCTCCAGCTTCTAGTGTTGAGGTTTTGCTGAGAAATCTGCTGTTATTCTGACAGGATTGTCCTTACAGGTTACTTGCTGCTTTATTCCAACAGCTTTTTTTGCATTTCTGGAATTTTGACCCCAACATTTCATGGAGAGGTTCTTTTCTGGTCATGGGTATTTGGGGTTTGATGTGCCTCATTTACCTGGAGATTTTTCTACGTTTAGAAAATTTTCTGCTATGATTTTCATGAATAATTTTTATACCTTGGAGTCATCTACTTTACACCTGTGTTAGATTAGTTCTTTGTTTGGGGAGTTTTGGGGGTTGTTCTTGCTTTGTTTTTTTGTTTTTGCAGAAATCTAGCAACTGATGGCTCTTGCTTCCTAGTGCTTCCCTATTCTTAGGGAATCACTAAGTATGTGATTTGCCAGATAATACCATCTTCAAATCTGACACTCCCCCTCACATTGATCATGTGTCCCACCCATGTTCTCAATTGAAGTCACCCGTGTCCTGGATTGCTGCTTGATTTCTTTTCACAACTTCTGATTATTTAACAAAATGATCATTCATACTCTTCGTTTAACATGTGCCCAACAGTTTAAACCACCCAATGGGACTGTCCCTGCCCCAGATGGAAAGTTATGCTTGTTCCTTTAGTGGTTCAATGCTAATTTAACCAGCAAGCGGGAACTTGCTAATTTTACCAGCTTTTTTGTGTGTCTTCTTTAAATTCACTGAGTATTTTATTAATGCCTTTAAATGTTCATATAAAAGCATATTTAGACACACTAAACATCTTGTTAATTAGCTTATTTATTTCTTTGATCTCTTCAAACATTTTTTATTATTTGGATTTTTTGTTGTTACTGTTTTTTGAGGTTTTTTTGTAGCTCATCACCTATAAGTTCCCCTGCTTCAGCGCCCATGAAATCAGCTACTGCCTTGTTTTCTTGTGTTTCTATTGTTTTTGTGCTGTGGGTGGAAGATAAGTTAGGGTAGGACAACTCTGTCACTCCTGTGGATGTATCTTTAGTTAGTGTATGTCTCCCAGTCACGTGACCATGTGTTTAATTATCTTTTGATATTTCCACAAAGCTCTTTCATCTACTCAACATGATAGGGTCAGTCCCAGGTGCTGTGTTACGAGGAGAGGACAATTGCCAGTTATGTATGAGACACACACACACAGTTTTGGTCAGGACTTCTTCAGCCATCTGGACTGACACAACCGCCTACATTCTGTCCACTATTCTTTATATACTTGGTTACTAGTGACTCTACTGTTAACTTCCATCAGCTGTTACCTTAATAAAATCATTACTTCATGAAAGAAAGTAGTGGAAAATCCTTGTCCTTCCCACTAAAATTTCTTTAAATTTTATTAGTAGTATTGACTTAGAAGAGGGAGTGTGCAAAGAACCTCTTAAGTTGGCAGTCATTATCTGTGAATATTTACACATGTCTTTTTTATATCCAGTATATCATATCAGGAGTCTACATAATAAAATCAGCAAAGTCTCCAGGTCGGAAACTGGTAAGTTGAAATGTTTGGGGTATCTCTAGCAATCACCTGTCATAAAAGTAAATAATAGGTTTTAATGGGGAAAAAAATGTTTAAACCATGAAAGAGTCTACCCTCCCTGTAAAAATACATAAAGAAATTAAGTGAAAATGTAGTATCATATAAATTAATGGAAACAAATAGAAAATAATACTTGAAATTGTGACTACCTTACAAACACTTCTGAATTTAAATGTAGTTTTTAGTGTTCTACCTTTTAGCATTATATGAATATTAAGACTAGAAAAAAGTACAAGACCAAATGCCTTTATATAGAGACATAGTGCTGTAAGACTTCATTTTCTGAACCATCTAATTTGGAAACAGGATTGTGTCTTGTAACAAAGTAGTTTGTTTGTCAAGAAAAAGATGATCTATGGTGTAGATGAAAGGATATTGGAAAGAAAAAATCTCCAACCTGTAAAAGTGAAAACATCTTAGAATCTTAGCACTGAGAGAAAGTAGTTTTATTTTTACATATCATGGGCACTACTGTGCCATAAAGGATAAATATGAGACATCTGTGGGGAAATGGATGCACTTGAGACCATAATGTTCAGTGAAATAAATCAGACACATTAGCTTAAATACCGCATGCTTTCTTTTATATGAGAAACTGAAGTATAACTAAAAAGGAAAATAAACAATGGATGATAGGAAATAGGGAGGTAGTGCTCTCTCATACAGGAAGGTGGTCAAGACTTGGAGGGAGGAGGAAGGCAGGAAAGGAGGGGAAAAAAAAAGAATTGAGATGTATTATGTACATGAACCAGCTCCACACAAAGGAATCACTATATATTGCAAACGTGTACCCAAAAAATTGGATATCTGATTTAGTTTCATGTAAAGCCCAGACTGTAAAACACAATGTTTGTAACCCAGTAGAATGCTTATAAGCTTGATATTTTAATGTTTCTGCTAGACTAATTGGGTTTCTTCTAAACCAGAAAAAATATTTTACATGAATTGTAAGCATACAGACACTTCTAAATCCTCACAGCAGAATTATTGATTAGAAGGACGCATAATTTAACCAAAATTTGTATTCTGGCCTGCCATGATGGCACATGCCTATAATCCCAGCCCCTGGAAAGCTGAGGAAGGAAGACTGCCATGAGTTCAAGGTCAGCCAGGCTACCTAGTGAGTTTTACAACCAGCCTGAATTACAGAGTGAGACCCCGTCTCAAAAAAAGAGACTGAATTCTGAATATAACAAGCTTCCTCTGTCTTCTTTTCAGATTGTGTCTTCTTTAGTCCTGAGTGTCGTATGTATGGTTATTGCAGTCACTGCAATAATTCTGACAGTTTTGGAGTTGTCTACATTTAGAACTGTGTCATATAAGAATTATGGGCAAGCGGTAAGTGAACAATTCTATAAAAACATATTAATTTCAAAATTATTTTTTCAGTTATTTTGAAGTTATACGTAAGACTTAGGAAGCAAAATTAGGCATATATGTTTCTCATACAATGCTTTTGATTTGGTGATGTACTCTGGATTGAATATTTTAATTCAAAAATAATTCTAAGGTATACAGTTTTAGGAAGTATCAATAAGCTATTTGAACTCTTGACTTGCCTACTTAAAATATAGCAAGGCTTTCATGCTAAGAACCCATGCATTAGGCTTAGGGCCATTTCTGATTCTTTTAATGCAAGAATGGGATAATCCTTGAGGATAATAACATCCTCAAAGTCAAAAAGAATTCTGCTATTGATACAAAGTGTCAACACCTAATGATTTCTGAATTAGCATAAGACTTTTCATAATAACCTATGTTTCTTAGTCAAATTCTGCTCTAAATCCTCAAACGTTGAATTTACATAAGCCTATCATTTCTGATCAAATGTCCAGCCACAAACTTTGTACTACAGAGGCAGTGACATTCTCCAGTAAATGTCAGTAGTTTTTACTGATAACACAGAAGATTTATTTCAGTCATGTTGGCCTTAAATTCAAAATCACAGATGACTGGTGCTTTGGCAAAGGTTATAAAAGTCTCCCAGGTTAGACAGCAGCTCCTCCTTGTTTAATCAACAAAAGCAAATAGATAACAATTACAATAATGAATAGAAGAATTGTTATAGGTGGGGGATATTCTTCCTGCTCTTTCCTCCCTGTGTGACTCTTCTTCTTGTACAGTGTATCTTTAGCAGGGAGAATCCAAACATGGGGAACAGAGGGGGGCAGTCACAGAAATGAGAGAAAGTGCAGTCAGTGCCCCAAGATAGATTCTGTATTGTGATTAATGAACATGATCAGAGTATCCCTATAAATTGGAAGAAAATACCCCCTTTGCCCTGGAAATGCAGTGCAGAAATCTTTGGTTCTCATTTTGGAGGCAGACAATTAAGGGAAGATTTAAAGTCTTCTACATCATGTTTTAAAATACTGAAGTTACTATCTTATCTCTAAGCTTGCAGTTACCAGTTTAGGGAACTAAACTAAAGGGTAGCTGTAAAACCTGTCATGCCACTCTGTTTTCTGTTTCTAGCAAAATAACTCCAGCTAGGTACTTAACAAAGGAAAAGAGGTTCATTTAGCTCACAGATTTGGAGATAGAAACTCCAGTTTATTAGGCTGTGAGGGATGGTGGCAGATGGCTTCAAGGCAGGGCTCGCATCACCAGTGTACGTGGTCCCTCGAGGAGGATTAACTTCCTGTTGCATAGCGTCCTTGTGGCTAAGAGGGGGAAATGCTGACCCAGCTGTATTCACGCACTGCTCTGCCCTTATCCCCATACTCCCGACGTGTTTGTCCTAATGGCTGCTCTGACTTTTCTGCTTGGACAGATTTCTATTCTTATCATTTCAAAGTGAAAAGATATATAATCAACATTATTTACCTCTTCAAAAGTACTGTATTGTGCTGGGGATATAGTTCAGTGGCATAAGTACCTGCCTGCCAGCTTATCAATCCTGAGTTCAATTCCCAGTACCAAAAAAAAAAAAAATTGACAAAAGTACTATATTGTCAAACTTCCTTGTTCAATTTCCTAAGTCCAAAATCATCATCTGTCCAAAATCATCACCTTGACCCCTCTCTTTCTACTGTTTTGTTCTAATTACCAAATATCATTTATTCTTAATTTGAGTTTTTAAAATTAGGATTCTTTTGGTTTCAAGTGGAATACTTTACAACCACAAATTGCCGTTAGCACAAAAGACCACACTTACTGGCTTAATTGTTGGGCCCAAAACTTAGGTTGTATGTCAAGGCCCAAGTCAAATGGGATTTCTTTATTTGAGGAATCTCCATGCTGACTTCTATACTAGCCGAACTGGTCCACACTCCCACCTGCAGTGGAGAAAGGTTTCTCTTCCCCCGAAGCCTCTCTAACATTTGTTATTTAATTTCTTGATGATGGTCATTCTTTATGATGTAAGGTGTAATCTGTCTTGCTTTAATTTGCATCTCTCTAATGACCAGCGATGCTGAACATTTTTTCATGATTATCAATCATTTATACTTCTTCTGAAAAATGTCTATTCATTTTAGTTACCCATTTTTTCTTGCATTTTATTAGGAGAGCTAATTTTTTTAAGTCTTTATATATTCTAGATATCAGTCTTCTGTTGGAGAAATAGCTGGCAAAAAAAATCTCATTAGAGCAGCTCAACTTATAGCAGCTAAATCTTTAAAGTGGCCTATTGGTCCATCAATATATAAATGGATAAAGAAAATGTGGCATTTATACACAATAGAGTACTATTCTGCCATAAAGAAGGCTAAACTTGAATCATTTGTAGGAAAATGGATACACTCTGAGACCATAATGTTAAGTGAAATAAGTCAGACACACAGCTTAAATATCACATGGATTCCCTTACATGAGCAACACAAAGTATAAATAAAGAGCAAAATAAAAGATCACAGGAAGCAGAGAAATAGACCTTTCTCGTAAGAAGGGATCAAGAGATGGAAAAGAGTAAGGAAAGCAAGGGAGAAGGGTCCAGAGAAAGAATTAAGATGTGTTATGTACATGTACCACCACCTTTTGAGGAATGAAATCACATACAGTAAACATGTACCAATGAAAATCTAAAATTTTAAAAAATCCAAGTCATACACACTCCGTGGTACGTTCCTATTTCCACTTCCCTGGCAGTATCTTGCCACTTCAGTGGGAGAGGTTTGGGGGTGAAAATCCAGCGGTAAGTAGGGATGCAGATAAAATGAATTTTTACAGTGTTGCCAGTCAGGAAGTCAGGTCTCGTTTCCTGCCAAAATGTTCTGATTATGTAACACTTCCAACAAACTGAAATTAGCACTCCATACTTGAGTGTTTAAAAACTCTCTCATCTTTTTCCTTATCTTTCCATTGGTATCATATGTAAATGAACACTACACTTCATTTAAAACCTTTTATCATTTTCTCAGTGTTTCTTGGATTCAATTGTTTACTCATTAGAAGCTCCTTCCAAGACCATGTTTGCACTTACTAAAAATAATAATCCAAAATTTCCCATTTCTTAATGACAGAAACTGGGAAGGGAAGTGTCACGTGTGTTACTGGTCGTCTACCACCTGGAAGTTGCCATTGCCATTACGAATGCAATCTGCATGTGTAGCAGTCTGGTGAGTGTTTTCTGTGGAAGATTGAGCATTGTTGATTTCTAGCAAGCTTATTGTGAGGAGATGAGGTGCACTGTGTTTGGAAATATAAAAAAAAAATGTGCTATGATCTTTACTTTTTCCCTTTAGTTTATAAACAGGAAACATAAAATCACTAAACTAATACATGAAGCTGTAAATAATTTTTAAATTATGGATTAAAAATGAATGTCCCCCAGACATCCAGATCTATACAAAAAGGGCATACAATGCAGTTTTCTTTTCTACTGATTACCTATCTAATCATAGTCACAGTATTTTATCATGTGCATTTTTGCATCTTTAGCATTTTCCATCACAAAACATATGTAAACAATGCCTTTTAATAACTTCATTGTAGTTCTTTGTTTTCAATATTCCTTTCTTCCTGCATATTTTGCTTTTTTCCAGGGTTTTTTTTTTCAAATTATAAGCAGTGACTCACTGAATATTTCTATACGAATATGTATACATGCAAGAGACTACTATTTCTATAAGTGTAGATTCCTGAAAATGTAATTGCAGAATCAAAGTTCAAAAATGTCTAATAACTCACCATGCCACAAAGGCTTTTGAGAAAGATTATTCCCTCACAAGTTTAAAATAATTAGATACCTGCCACTTATTTTTTCCTCAGATATTGACAGAGGATCTACTATTTTATAGGCGTTGTAATCAGCCCTAAGGATGCCAAAATTCAAAGACAGTGGCTCCACCCTCAGAGAGACCACTTTCCAGTGATGTAAAAGAGAGCAAACAGGAGAGAGACCTAGGGAGCCAATCCTAAACATAAAAACCAAGAATAAATAATTAAAAAGTTAGTAGTCAGAAACCACATGTTTCAAAGTGATCAGAATTCAGAGTTGCTATGACTTATTATGTACAATGTCCAGTTTTCAACGCTAAAATAGTACCAATATAATGAAGAGAGCACACAACACCAGATATAGTCTCTTGCAAAAGGAGGGACAACAAATAATATACTTAACAAAGAAAGATGTCAAAAATCTAAATATTCTGAGGATAAGCTCAGTGGCACAAGCACCTACCTGGCAAGCACAAACAAGGTCCTGAGTTCAATTCCCAGTACCAAAAACAAAAAAAATCTAAATATGTTTGAAAAAATTATGGGATGATAATGATAGCTCATCATATTATACTATCAGCATTATTTTTAAAAACAGCAGAAATTCTGAAGTACTCTAAAAATATAATAACTGAAATAAAAAACTCACTAGAAAGCCCAAAGAGCAGATTTGAACAAATAAAAGACAAAAATCAATGAACAAAAAGTTAGCACAAAAAAAATCATTCCAATGGGAAAAAAGAAGTAAACAGAGCCTCAGAAACTACTGGAGCACCACTGAAAATGTTTAATGAAAATCCCATAGAAATTGAATAGATAGAGAAAAAAATGGAAGAAATAGTGGCCAAATACTCAGCTAATTTGATGGAGATCATTGTCTACATAAATAAATCCAGTTATCCCCAACCTAGCGTAAACACATGCATCCTCTTCCTAGACTCCTCTGTCAATCTGAGTTTTAAAAAGAGAGGCAATATTGAAAGTAGTAAGAAAAAACCATAGCTCAATAAACAGTAGAACAACAATAAGGTTGACAGCAGACTTTTCATCAGAAACAGTGGAGTTCAGGAGCTAGTGGGGTTGTTCAAGTAGAATTCTATATCTTTTAAAATTATTCTTCAAAAACTGAAGATGAAATAAAGACAAACAGATGAACAGAGAATGTACTGCTGCAGAAATACCATGTAAAGAAACACTGAAAAGAGGTGGCATCAGTTGAAAGTCAAATGCACATGAATAAAAGAATACCATTTAGAGTAACCATAGTGATTACAAAAATCTGTATAAATACATTGTAAATACATTTTTCTGTGTACTTCTTTTTATCTTACTAACAACTGCATAAACTGCATCAAGTTCACCCAAGCAATTTGGAATAATCTCCTTAATTGAAGGTTGCTAATAAGCAACATTAATTCCATACATCATAAATACTTAGGCCTATCATTTAGCATGAAAGTATCCATACACAATACACAAATGAAGGGTTAATAGCTTTTTTTCAATAAAAATTCATTAGCAAAAGCCGGCAACAGGCCAGATTTACTTCATGCATCATACTTGCCAATTCATGCTCAGTAAATGCACATTATAAAAGGTGAATTTATAGCAAGTAAAGTTCCATATGAAATGTGTATGGTTATAAATAGCACCAAAGGAAAAGTCAGGGAATAGAGCTATATGGGAACACAGTCGTATGTTACTGGAATTAGCTTTTACCTAAGCTAGCTTATGATAAATTAAGATGTACATTCGTGACTAAGAAAACTTAAAATTATACTTTAAAAATCAAGGAAATTGACACATGAACAGTAATTTTATGACAGTTAAAGAAAGGACACAATACATGAGATACAGAGAAAAAATGGTAAAATGTCAGAAAAATCCATTTCAATAACCACATTAAATAAATTAAACTAAATGAGATTCTATTAAGTGCCCACCACAATGACTGAGTTTCAAAGTACTGACAATTCCAAATGATAATAAAGACTACAGATTTTAAAAATTTCACCCTCCTAGGTAGAATGTAAGTTATCACAACAGCTTTAAAGATCATTGGGGCATTACCTTCTAAAAACCAAAAAAAAACCAGATGTGCATAATTCCAGTTAGTAATTAATTCCTTAGTATATATCCAGTGTTTGTCATATGTACTAAGATACATTGCCATTAATAACATAGAGCATCCTTTTATGACCCCAAAATGGCAACCCACAAATGTGACTGACTGAGGGATACATCAGGGTCAATTACGCTAATAAAATTCTGTATAACAATTAAAAATACAGCCACCTACAGTTACAGACATGAGGGAATTTTAAGCATGTTTAGTATAAAAAGGCAGGCTTGCTGACTATATATTTTATATTCCATACATAAAGTTTGAAATAAAACTAAAGCCAAACTAGGGTTCAGGGATATAAGCTTAGTTGGTAAAGCTGAGAAGGATCAGTAACTTACAAGTCAAAGTGCTACCTGAGGGCTGAAGAGTGGATAATAGTTGAGTCGTGAGATGCTAAGGTGACTTTTGGAATCCCAGCATCTATTGTGTTGAAAAAGACCATTAATATTTTTAACGTGGAAATTAGAAAATACACCAAAAGTTACAAGCGATCCAGTCGTAATTAAGAAGGAAGGCTAAGGTGGGAATGGGACAGAAACAGGATGTAAGAAACTTTAAAGTCTTACTCAATAAACATCAGTGCCCTGTGTGTTTTTAAAATAGGATTTGTAAGAAGTTAATTTGTTTTTCCAGAATCGAAGACATGACAATGTTTCTGTACCTGAAGAGCCAGCTGAAACTACTTTATGAAAACCTCAGTAATGTGAAATTTTTACTGATGCCAAGACCTGATGTGGGTATTATGATATTTCAGTATTAAAAAGCTGCTGCAAAACCTGCAGACTTTTTGCAAAAGAAAATACAAAACAAGTTTAAGTTTTCTCATCAATATTCAAGAAATTTCTATACACGCTTTTCTAGGCTCCAAGGGTAAAGCTTTATCCTATCTAAGGATGAAATTAGTATAAGGGAGAATTCATTATCTAGATAGTATGAATAGCTCTCAACAGTTCACAAAAGCTTTTATTAAAAACTCTAAAAAACATTTGTTCTCTAGAGGACAGGCTCTAAAGACTTCAAGTGTGGTGGTGTATAAATCACAAGAAAATACTACGCCCTTATGAGAGAAAACCTTCCTCACACCCTGAGTTTGTCACCTGAACTAGCTTCTCCACTAACGGTGTATGACAAAGGCCCCTGCATCCTCCTTGTTCCTTGACCTTTACCTTTCTGCATTAAACTTCCTCTCTGCCCTAGACATCTCTGCTGTCTTTCTTCCCCTTTAACCCCCCACTTCCTGTGTATCACTATTTGAATCATCTCTCCAATTACTTTTCAAAGCAGACTTTCTTTGCACAATAAGAATTTCCCAGGTTTCTTTCCTGTATTGAATTCAGTCTGTCTTTTAACAAGGAACATTGCTTCAGAAAGCTTCATTGAGTGATATTATCATGTCATTAAATACATACAGCTTCCTTTTAATTGTGCTATTAGGTTTTGTTTTTGTTTTAGGGGTTGTTCTTTGTTTGGGATTCTACTGTGTCTCAAGATGTTTTACCAATTGTTATCAACTGCTGTTAAGATTTTTTGATTCCACAAATTTCAGTGTTTAGCTCAGTTTTTTCAGATCATTAGTTGTCTTACTGTGTGCCAGTGAACATATTCAGTTCTGGAGTGCTAAAGATTAATAAGGCACCTGATGATACATTTTTGTTTTGAGGAGAAAGCAATGAACAAATCAAGCCTATGTGATACATTAATGAGCAAGAATGTGAAAGAATGGAAGTAAGAGTTAATCTCTTTTTAATCAACCTAACCGAGAGTGTAAAAAACCTATATGCTGAAAATTGTACTACTCTAAAAAGGAGATTGAAGAGAATATTACAAAATGGAAGGATATTCCTTGCTTTTGGTTAAGAAGAACCAACATTATGAAAATGGCCACATTCCCAAAACTGTTATATAGATTTAATGCAACCCCAATTAAAATACCATTAACATACATTAAAGATCTAGAGAAAACATTCCTAAAATTCATTTGGAAACAGAAGAAACCTAGAAAAGCAAAGGCAGTTCTGGGTAACAAAGGCAAAGCAGGAGGGATCTCAATTCCTGTTTTGAAATTAAACTACAAAGCCACAGTGATAAAATCAGCATGGTACTGGCAAAGAAATAGATCTGAGTACCAATGGAACAGATTAGAAGATGCAAATACAACTACAATCACACTCAGCCACCTTATATTTGACAAAGGGGCTAAACATGTTCACTGCAAAATAGATAGCCTCTTTAATAAATGGTGTTGGAAAAATTGGCTTTCCACATGCCACAGACTAAAACTAGACCCATGCCTCTCACCATGCACTAAACTGAAGTCAAAATGAATCAAAGATCTAAATATTAAAACAGAAACACTAAATCTTTTGGAAGACAAGATAGGTAGAAAACTTGGAGACATAGAGGTAGGCAGAGAATTCATGAACAAAATGCAAACCACATGGGACATACTTCAAAGAATTGATAACTGGGATCTAATCTTATTAAAAAGTTTTTGCATTTCAAAAGAAATCACCAACAAAGTGAAAATAAAACCCACAGAATAGTAAAGAATTTTAGGCAACAATCCCTCAGACAAAGGACTTATATCCAGAATATATAAAGAATTGAAAAACATCAAGTCCCCCCAAATTCAAAGACCCTTTCCAAAAATGGGCATCTGAGATGAAAACACATTTCACAGGTGAAGATAAACAAAAGGCAAATAATAAATACCTGAAGAAATGTTCACCATCACTGGTTATTTGAGAAATGCAAATTAAAACAGCATTGAGATTTCATCTTACTCCAGAAAGAATGGCTGCCATCAAGAAATCAACTGATAACCAATGTTGGTGGGGCTGTGGGAAAAAAGGAACACTCTCCACTATTGGTGGGAGTGTAGACTGGTGCAGTCACTATGGAAATCAATATGGATATTCTTCAACAAACTAGGATTAGAAGTTCCATTCAACCCAGCTATACTCCTCCTAGGTATTTTCCCCCCCAAAAAAAGATCATGCCACAGTGATATATGTGCACCCAATTGTTTATAGAAACACAATTTGTAATTGCTAAATCTTGGAAACAACCAAAATTCCCCTTAACTGCAGAGTGGATGAAAAGATGTGATATTTTCATATAATGGCATATTGCTCAGCTATATCAAAGGATTATCTTGAGGCCTTCATAGGTAAATGGAGGCAACTTGTGACTTCATAAGTGAAATAAATATTCACATTTGTAAATATCACATTGTCTCTCTAATGTAAAAAATAATAAAAACTGAAGTAATAAGATCCAAAATACATAATATTATAAAAATGAAAGAAAAAGAAAGTGCTCTAAAGGATATAACTATATATGTTTAAGCATATAAGATATATAACTATATTACTAAATTTTTATTGGATCAGAACATTTTATTGAACAGAATGGACTGAACAGAATGGATTGCACTGTCAATGTTTGAGTGACTGTCCACTTTTTATGTTTTGATTTTGTAACTTGAACAACTATTTCTAAGAGGACAATATGTAACTTATCAACTAGTAATTTCTTAGTGTTAATATTTTTCTTTGAAATTCTGTATTCTACCCTTTTTTCTGTTTTTTCTTTCTTTTTTCTTTAAATAAAAAAAGCCTCCTTTGTGGAGTAAAAGTGACAATGAGCAGGTGATTAGCAGTTTACCAAACAGATTGAAATATATGATCCAAGTGAGAGAGTTGTAGCTTTGTCGGCCTGATAGGTCTGATAAGCTCACAGGCCTGCTTTTCTCTCATGGCTTTGATCCATCGTGTATGAAAGGTGAGAAGACATTTCAGACACGAAGAGTAGCTCATCAAAAATATAGGAAAGGGGGGCGGTGGGGTAATCCAGGGATGCACGCACTCTTACAGAAACATGAACTTGAACATCTCACACAAAATACCTTCACAGCAGCTAAGAAAACCAGGTAAAAGAATGTAGCACCTGGTAATGGCATAAAAACAAGCCACATATAAGGGAGTATGAAAGGCCATTTCACATTTACTGTGTCAGGATCTCCCAACTTTAGGCAATGCCATGTGGATGGAAACACTATCCACTTTGGAAGAAAAGAGGGAAATATGCACAAGACTTCGCCTTGGTCTAAGCCTGAGAAGACAGTCATGATCCCTGTCCTAAGATGAGTGCCTGTGGCAGAGCCTGAAGATCTGCACCAGCCTCAGGAAGCAACCCAGAACCACTACATTCTCACTTTACACCCCATGGCACCAGCAGTGAACTACAGCAGCCACAGACTTCAGGAGACCTCAGAGGCAGACGGGCATCTGCAGCCACAGCGCTTCAGATGTACCCAACACTGTCAGCCTCAGAGGTTACCAGGTTCCACTGGCACTGCCCTGGCACAGTGAACTTGGCTACAGTGGCCACAGTGGGCCCAGGTTAAGGACCATGCCAGAGAGTCTTCCAGGAACCTCTGGTTAGGCTGAGATTTGAGGCAGTCTTACCAAGCTGGAATAACTGCTACTAGTGCACAGATCATGCCTACTGGGACCAAGGACAGTCAAGGACAGATGACCTCACCAAAGAACAAAAGGGTGTGCTGGTAACAGACCCTAAGGGAAGGATATGTGTGGACAGCATGAGAAAGAATTCCAGATGACAGTTCCAGACCACCTAGGCAAACTTGAAGAAAAAGTGGCAATAGTGGAACCAATCGAGTAGAAAATATAATCTGTGAACTCGAAGGCAGGTTGTAATACATAGAGAAAAAAAGTGAATGAAGATTACAAGGTTCGTGTTGCAGCATCAAAAGCAAATACTTCAGTCATGGGGTTCATGTCAGAAAAGATAAAACCAGATAGAAGCTTACTTAAGGAAATGGCAAACTTCAGGGAAAGATACTCAGCTACAGAAAGTTCAGTGTCTCCAAACAGATTCAGTGCAAATGAAACTGACCCTGACATAAGGAATTAGAAGTGCGAGTAAAGCAGTGGGTCCTGAAGGCTACCACCACCACCATAGCAGGCTTCCCAGCAGAAATCCTACAGCTGGACAAGAGCAGGGCAGTACACTCAAGAGTGCCTGAAAAGTACCCCAAAGTAAGCCCATAAAGTCTAGAAGAGCCAGCAACTGCAGATTCTAGCCTAAGGCAGCAAGTATGAAAAACTGAGGAGACAGTTCACCTCCAGAGGAACCCAGTACTTCCCCACTGGATCACCCCAAAAGAAGTGGAGACAAACAACCTACCTGAGAATTCAAAGTATTAAGGAAGCTCAGCATACTCCAAGCACAGAGAAGCAATTCAACGAGATTGGGAAAACAATAACTAAAATGGGAAATTTAACTGAGAGAATTCAATTGTTTTTAATTTGGAGCTTAAAAGTGCACCAACAGAGTTGATCAAGCATGGAAAAAAGATATCTGGGGAGGTGGGACTAGGTTACTTGAAAATATACAGTCAGGGGAGATAATAAAAATATGAAAGATGCAAGCATAAGGAGACAGCAGCAAGAGAATACATGTTCAGATTATGAGAGAAGAGACAGACCAAGACTGAAAGCTTATTTTAAAAAATAATAGCCAATTTTTTTTAATCTGAAGAAAATATCTAATTTATCCAGGTGTAAGACACGCAGATACTCAGACCACACCTAAGTGTAACTAAAATGTGAAAAATTAAGAGGCAAAGACAGGAGCCTGAAAACACGAAAAAAAGAAGCATAGCAAATAAAAGAGTTTGAGAAGCATACTAGCAGATTTCCCAGCAGAAAGGGAACATGCCAGAACACAGCAGGATGACACAAAATGATGAAAAACATAGCTAACCAAAAACATGCGATCCTGTGGAGTTGGCTTTCAGAAGTGCAAGATTCCCAGA